TATTGTTAAGAGTTCGACTATGAGTGTCCTACTAATCAAGTTGTAGCCCAGTTAACGCAGGTTTTATCTTAATTTACTTCTTAAGGTTTAAAATACTCAAGTGGATTTTTTCCAGTATTTGTTGACCTTGTTCTATTAATTCGCATTAAGAATCATCTTTACAAATACTGGCATAAGTGTCGTTTCGCTTTTTGATTGGATCGGATGAGTGGGAATTTGTTAAGCTGCTCGCCTGGTAACCTGCCTTGTTAGCAAGAATAAATTTGAGGAATCATTGGTCATTGTTACTTCTGGGCTGACTCAGATGATACGTATACCTCTGTCTTTTGAAACACAACAATAACGCTATTTATCGTGGTAGTCATTCATTGTTGGTAAAATTATTGTCTGTGTTGTACTTCATCACTATTTTCAAGCATGATCATACCTCATTAATGCACATGTTGTCCTTGAATTTGTATTGCTAATTGTGATGGTTCTATGTTAAAGTAAGAGTGAGTTGAAGGTGGCATATTATTGGTACATTTTAGGTATAACTTCAAAGATGTCGGGACGCAGCAATTCTCTTTTATTCTTGATTTTCTGTTCATTGGGTGTTTTTTTCTCGTATTTTTTCTACGGTATTCTTCAGGAAACAATGTAATACGATTCATTTTTCATTCTGACTCCTCGCTTCTAGAACCCAAACCGAATATGGAGGTAGAAAAGGAGAATTCACTTTTATTAAACCGGTTCTGTTTGTCCAGTGTCTGATTAATGCTGCGTTCGCATACATTGGTATGTTGATACTCCTATCTCTTCACTTCCCCTGGAAGTTGTCAAATTTAGACCTGAGTCTAAGGCGAATTTATCGTCCAAGGATTATGCTCTCTGTGCTCTGTGTTACATTGGAGCCATGTTCTGTAGCAATGCTAGTCTTCGTTATGTTAATTACCCGACTCAAGTGGTCGGTAAATCAATAAAACCCATTCCCGTGATGCTTTTGAACGTCTTATGGGCCCGAAAACGCTACCCTTTAAGAAAGTATCTATTTGTCGGCATCGTCACCACCGGTGTTAGCCTCTTTATGTATAAGGGGGATGTAGCACTCAATTCGGATGTCGGTTGTGGTTTTGGACGCGGCCATCTCCTGCTGGTAAGTTTCAGTCGCCTCCAATTGAGAAGCTTCGTAACTTTAACGTCTTTAATTTGCTGTTTTATTAGTTACCTCAGCGTCGGATTTAAGGTCAACTTTAATTGCTCTAAACTACTTTT